ATACATAAATTATCGAGAGTTTGAAAAATGAAAGGATGCTGAATTTTATCGAAAGCCTTTTATGAATCTATTGAAGCAATCATGCAGATTTTATCTTTAGTTCTCTTTATGGGATGGATTTACATTTATTAATTTGCATATGTTGAACCAACTTTGCTTCCCCGAAATAAAGCCTACTTGATTATGATGGATTTGATTTTTTTGACATACAGCTGGATTCAGTTTGGGTTTGCAAGAATTTTGTTAAAGATTTTAAAATGCTGGAAGACACCCTAGGCAATACCATTCTTGACACAGGAACTGGAAAATAATTCATGACAAAGATGCCAGAAGCAGTTGCAACAAAAGCAAAAACTGACAAAATGGTATCTAATTAAACTTAAGAGCTTCCACAGAGCAAAAGGAAATATCAAGAGTAAACAGACCATGAACAGAATAGAAAATATGCATACCATGTTTAGTCTATATGAAATAAAAATAAGAACTCCATAACCTTATTATATTTTAAGTAATCTAAGGAAACCTCATCTGAACCTGTAGTATTAAAACCTAGGGACACTATGCCCCTTGCAGGACTCTGGTTTTATCACCTATGATAATTTTTTGGCTAGCATTTGCCTGATATGTCTTTTATATTCTTTTACCTCCAATTTTTGAGTGTCCTTATGCTTCAGGTGTGAAGCATGTGTGAATATTTGTATATATATTCAAAATTTTTAAATTAAAATGTCATGTGTCTTTTAACTATGAGTTTAGACAATTTATATTTATTGTAATAATGTTACATTGGAACTTTTCACTATCACTTTAATTTTATTTCAGTTACCTAATTTTCCTTATTTTTTGTAACACTTTGTTTTAATTGCTATCTATATTTTCCTGCAATTATTAAAGAAACTAAGCCTATTTCATATTTACTGTCCTATCCCCATCTCTTATATTGATATACTCTATCACCTTTTAATTATATTTCATAATTGATATTTTGCCTTTTTCCTTTAGTATTACGTAAAAATATACACAGACACATAAACTTTCCCAGGATATTTAACACCTTTGTTCATATTTCTTTTGCAAAATTTTCTAGATTTTTTGGTCTTACTTATTTCATCCAAAAGTATTTTCATTGTGAATGTTTGTGTAGCAAAGCTTCTAAAGGAGGTGCAGGTTATAGTGAGCCGAGATCGTGCCACTACCCTCCGGCCTAGGGAACAAGAGTGAAACTCTGACTCAAAAAAAAAAAAAAAAAAGACTCATGCTTAGTTTTATTCATCTTTTATATTGTTTTGCTAGTCTCTATTTCATTTACTTCTACTCAATCTTTATTATTTCCTTCTTTCCTCTATCTTTGTATTCAGATTGTTTTGTCTCTAGCTCCTTGAGGAATAAGATTAAGTTGTTTGAAATCTTTTTTTATGTAAACATTTATTTTTATGAACTTTTAGAATTTCTTTTGCTGTATTCCTTAAGTTTTGGTATGTTGTGTTTCCATTTTTGTTTGTCTCAAGATATGCTTAAATTATTAAAAAAATTTTATTGACCCATTAGTTGTTCAGTAACGTGTTGTTAAATTTAGATGTATTTGTGAATTTTCTAAAATTCCTCATTATTGATTTCTAGTTTCATATCATTGTGGGTCAGAAAAGATACTTCATTTAAGTTCAAACTTCTTAAGTTTTCTGAGGATTTAGTCCTGACAGATAATCTATCCTAGAGAATATTCTCTGTGTGCTTGAGAATACTGTGTATGCTGTTGCTATTGGATGGAATATTTTGTGTATATCTGTTATGTCCATTTGATCTAATGTGGTCAATCCCATGTTTTCTTATTAATTTTCTGTCTGAATAATCAGTCCATTGTTGAAAATAATATATTAAAGTCCCTTACTATTACTGCATGGCAATCTCTCTCAAGATCATTTCATATTTTTTTAGGTGCTCCAATGTCGAATGTATGTGTAATTACTATTGCTATATCCTCTTGATAAATTGACCCCTTTATCATCATATAATGTACTTACGTGTCACCTATTTCAGTTTTTGACCTTTTCTTTTTGTTTTCATTTGCACAGAATATCTTTTTCCATCCCTTCACGTTCAGCCTATACATGTCCTAAAATACAAGGTGAGGCTATTGTGGGCGGCGAATAGTTGGGGATTGTTTATCCTTTTAGTTACTCTCTTTTTTGGAGAATTTAATGCATTTATATTCTAGGTAATTACTGACAGGCAAAGACTTACTGCTACCATCTCGTTAATTGTTTTCTGGTTGCTTTGTAGATATTTTGTTTCTTTCTGCCTCTTATACTGTCTACCTTCATGTACTGATTTTTTTTTTAAGCAATGGTATGTTTTGACCTTTCCAAGTTTTTTGTCCGACTAATAATCTTTGATTGGTGTTTCTCATGAGGTTTACACATAACATATACATGTATTAATAACAGCCTACTTCAAGCTGGTAACAACTTAACTTGTATACAATTCCACACTTTTCCTCCTCCCATACACATTTTATGTTGTTAAGGTCAGAATTTACAACATTTTTTTATGCGTGTCTCTTGACAATTTATTTCAGCTATAGTTTAAATTGTTTTGTCTTTTAATTCTTCTACCAGGGATAAAATTACATGTACTGATTACAGTACTCGAGTATTCTGAATATGGCTGGGCTTTATAACTTATACCACTAAGTTTTGTTGTTTCATATGTATCATTATTAATTTGTGGCTTTTTGTTTTAGCTTAAAGAAGTCCTTTTAGCAATTCTTACAAGACTGGTGTAATTGTTATGAAACCCCTTTGCTTTAATTTGTCTTCTTATTCCTAAAAGACCAATTTTCTGATTAAAATATTTTTAGTTAGAAGCTTGTGTTTCTATAGCACTTTGAATATGTCACCCCACTCTTCCCTGGCCTGCCTGTTTCTCCTGAGAAATCTGCTGATAGTGACACTTCCTGCATGTGACGGGTTTCTTATCTCTTGCCGCTCCAGATTTTTTTGTCTTTGATTTTTGGTAGTTTGACTTTTATGTGTCTTGATGAATTTCTCTTTCAGTTGTATTTGAGTGGTGACTTCTGTGCTTCCTATACCTGGATGTTGGCATCTATTCACAGATGATTGAAGCTTATTTTAGCCCTTATTTCTTTAAATATGCTCTATGGCCCTTATTCTTTTTATTCAGCTTCTGTAACTTCCATTATGTAAAACTTTGGTCTCTTCAGTGTCCCATAATTTCTCTAGGATTTCATTATATTTTTTCATTCTTTCATCTTTTAGCTCCTTTGATTGGATAGTTGTAAATTTTGTTTCCCAGTGAACTGTTTTCCGCTGCTTAATCACATCTTCTGTTGAAATCTTAACTTTGCAATTCAATCATTGTATTCCTCATCTCTACGATTTCTATTTTCTAAAATTGTTTCTATTTTGTTGTAAGACTCACTTTGTGAATTGTTTTCCAAGTCTTAATTTTTTTAATCCATATATTGTTATAGTTTACTGAACTTCTTTAGGAAGATTATTTGGAATTTACAGTCACTACAGAGATCTCCATTTCTTTGGGGCCCATTACTGGAGCTTTATTAGTTTCCTTTGGAGTGTAATGATTCCCTAATTCTTCATAATCCTTATGTGTTTGCACTGTTGTCTGTGCATCTGAGAAGACAGCCACATTTTCTGGCCTTTATAAGTGTTATTAGCAGGAGTAGACCTTCACTATTTAGACTAGCCTGTGATTCTGGAAAAGCCTGTTGGTGACAGTCCCAGGAAGGCAGATTTTGTTATGTGTTCTCTAATGTATGGGGTCACTGACTTTGCTCTGATATCAGGTGGGCCTGCGAGCCGAGTTCTGCCATCCAGCAGAATCACTGAGACGGTTCTGCTGTCAAGGAGAGCAGCTGGCTGGGTACTGTCTTCCCTTCTATTCAGGCTAGTAAGCAGATGTATTTCCTGGCCAGGAAATTCTACTATATGGGATATGCAGTTAAGCAGGGCTACAGGCTGTGCTCTGATATTTGCCAGTCACTGCTTGAGACAGGCAGGACCAGAGGCTATGCTCCTTGGAAATGTGTAACTGAGGATTGCCTCCCACTCAGGTGGAAGCCTGGGGTGAGGTTGTTTTGATCTCCCAGGTTAAGCTGGTCTAGCCTCTATACTTCTCCAAAATGTATGAAGGTGGGAGTGTCCCTGCCTGGGCAGGGTCATTATGCTGTGCTATGGGGCTAAGCTTGGAGATTAGCTATCTAGAGACTCAAACTAAAAAGAACTTTATGTCTTACTTATGAAGGCATTCAGCTCAGTTTTGAAGAGTGGTTATAAAGTTGGCTGGTATCATCACTGATTGAGCTGTCAGGAACACAAAGATACCAGCAGGAACTGTATGCTGGTCACTATGAGCTCTGCCTCCTTGGTCTCTATCTGACCCCAGACAGTTTAGCTATGCCATTATCCCCATTGTTCCCCATCAGCTGAGACTGCAAGTGGGCTTCTGGGAAGTGTCTCAGAATGCTAGGGAAGATTGGATGCCTCCGGTTTTCTTTTTCTGCCTGTACAAACTGTGGGCCCAGTGAAATCCTCTGTCTGTCATTGTGCTGACTTCAGGGGGGATGAAGAACAGCATCATCATGAGATCATTCCTATTCATCTAATTTGTTTTCATTCAGTTCCACCAATGACGTGGGTGTCTCAAGATATTTGCCAAGTATTGAGGTTTTCAAAAAGATGCATGGTCTGTGGATAGTTGCTAGTTATAATTTCTGTAGGTGTTGGGTGGCATGGGGGTAAGGAGACCCAGGCATCTAGGATCACCTCCCCCTTGACTTCCACACTGCATTTCAGTTTTTAAGTTGATTCTGTATCCTGAAACACCTAAATCACCTTCCTATAAGATAGCAGGCGTGGTATGGCGGAATCTCTCTGGAAGACATTGCTGGGAGGGAGTATCCGTGACTGGTCAGATTCTTAAGTAGGTCACATGCTTGTCCTGAGGTACACGCAGGAGGGACATGTACTCGGGGGTTCATGGTGTGCACTGCCAGCTATGGCCCCCTAGCAGGGGTGGCCACCCGACCCAGAAGCTCCAGGGGCACCAGGAAGGGGTTCAGGGGGCAGATGCCAGCTGCTTGCCAGGGCGATTTCAGTTTGCTGCCCTCTGCCTTCTCGGGGGCTGGGCGGGTCTCCTCTGGTGCCTTGGAGGCAGCCCCGTCCCCCTCAGCCGCAGGCCCCAGGCTCCCTCCAGCGGGGCTGGGCTGGGGGGCTGTCAGGCGTAGGTATGTCTCCATCATATGCTCAACCAGGGCTGTACAGGGCAGGAGAGGCAGCTCTTCCGGAAGTGACATGAGCAGGTCGAGGACCACAGCGGACTCAGCTGCTGAGAGCTCAGGCCTGCAGCCACTGCGGGACAAAGAGGACAGGTACTTGTAGATCTTCTCAAAGTCCACAGTGAGGTCTTCAGTGGAAGGACCAGCCAAGGACTCAGAAGGTTTCTCAGGGGCAGGGCCAGAAGTCTCTGGGGCTGAGCTAGGTGCCTTGGGGGCAGAGCTAGGTGTCTCAGGGGCAGCGTCTTCCTGCCTTCCAGGGACACTCAGGATTAATGGCTTTCCATTGGCCTTCGTGGACTTGGGGGGCCTGGAGTGTAGGAGGGTGATGGGTTCCGTGGCCGCGATGGTGAGCACCTGTGAGAAAGCCACTGCTTAAACAAGATCAAACCCCCACCCCAGTCCTCCATCGGAGACCAGAACACTTTTACATGTAATTCCTAAAACTAAACCCAAGGTGCTTTCATATGTGATTTCTAAATCTATAAACCCAAGACCCTTTCACTTGTAATTTCTAAGGCTGTAAACCTGAGATTCTTTCATGTGTAATATCTAGAGTGTACGCCTATATAAAGGCAGAGCTTCTCTTTGTTAGGGGGGCTTGGCCATTTAGACGAAACATAAAGCCTCGCTCCAGGGCTGTAATAATAAACACCTCTTCCTTTCCAGTTGGTGTCAGAGAGGTCTGTTTCTCTCTGAGGATCCTGCTTGGAAGGGAGAGGGGATTGGGGAGGGGGGTGTTGGTAGACATTGCAGCCTGAGACTTTCTATTCTGCTATTGTGCTTATGTCACCTCCATCTCTTTGTCTTTTAAATGCTACTACTATGTGTGGGTTTTTAGTTATTTTTCATCTTTCATACAATAGATAGTATACTTTATATTTTAAAGTAGACTTTACACTTTATACATTCAATCTGCTTTTTATATTTTTAAATGCCAAAACAGTCATTATGATTAATTTTCCCATAGCTCTTCCTCACAATTTTACTTTTCTCTCTGTGACATCTTTTAAAATATTTCCTTGGTCTTTTTTATTTGCTTATTTTGTTATATATTGCTATGATTATGAATTTACTTTCTTGAATGCTTCATGGAGCATAATTATTCTTGGTAATTTTTCATGTACTTTTATTTAATATCACTAACATATTTCTCTTGATGTATTATGCTGTTGTATTTTTATTATGCTAATTTAAACATACTGGTCCATCTTTCTAGTTTTGTTTCTGAAGAAATCGGTAATCCAGCATGTTGCTTTTCTTTTGAAATTGTTATTGTTCTCTTCAAATGTCTCATGATTTTGAGCCATTCACTCATATTCTCATGTCATATACTCAGTCAGCTAACATATGAAAAAAGACCAGACTTCAGTCTTTGGGGAAAAAAATGTGTTTAGTGGAAAGGTTGTTGTAATCAAAAGTCTGACTACGGAAAGCTTTCAAGACTCACCCCCCTTTCTGCCCCACATTATTGCAAGCTGTTAAGAAAGCCTGCTTTCTCTGGTGCTGGCAGGAAGTTCAAAACTATGTAAGACACTGTCTGCAGTCATGAACCCTCGCTATGACCACACCCCCAAACCACCATAAAAATTTCATACCAGTCTTTTTCCTTTTGTCGGTCATTTTTGGACAAAATTAGGAATGCTGTCCTACTCTGCTATAAAGTCTCATTTAGTAAAAACCCTTTCATGTACTTTTGGTGCATATATAACATTATCAACCCTCTCATGTGAACCAAATTTTGGGTACAGGCCTTCTAATTGATTAAGGTGGCCACTACACAGTGATAGGTGATGACTGTGTAGTGGCTGTGTCCCTACCCAAATCTCATCTTGACTTACAGTTCCCATAATCCCCCCCATGCCACAGGAGGGACTTGATGGCAGGTAATTGAATCATGGGGGTCGTTACCCCCATGTTGTTCTCATGATACTGAGTTCTCAGGAGATCTGATGGTTTTATAAGGGATTTCCCACTTTCCTTGGCATTTCTTCTTCCTGCTGCCATTTGAAGAAGAATGTGTTTGCTCCCTCTTCTGCCATGATTATAAGTTTCACGAGGCTTCCCCAGCCATTTGGAACTGAGTCAATTAAACTTTTTTTGTTTTTTTTTTTTAAGAAATTACCAGTCTCGGTTGTTTCTACAAACCCTAGAAGGAAATTCCTCTTAGATTCTAACCTCCCCATCCCCCAGCTGTTGAGGTTTGAAGCAGGCTGGGTAGAAAAAAAACGATTAAAAGTTATTCCTCAATTATCTATTATCTCAATTCCCAAAAAACAGGCTTCCACCATTTGTCCAAAAGTAATAAAAGAGAGAAGACAATAGATTAGAGAAGATAGGAATGGATAAGATATGTCCTGAAAATTTTTGATATGGAAAGAAATCAAATCTTTCAAATTAATTTTATAAACAATAGGTTTTAGCATAACATAAAATCCTACTATGTTTTATTTATATTAATTAATGATGAAGATTACGCTGATCAGTTCAAATGTTGGAAATGTCATTTTAAAACTGCTAGTATTTACTGAAACATGATTAGAGTTAGAAAAAATTATTAAAAATTTAATTTTATAAAAATTATGCTATTTAAAAATAGAAGGCATTATTAGAAATCAAGACAATTATATTACTGTGTTTCAATAATTTCTAAATCATATCTAAATAGCCTACTTTGCCTACTTTGTCAAAAGCAGAATTTGAGAACTCATATAATAGAATAAGTAGCTGTAAGAAAAATAAAAACAGTAATACACCATAGAGTGGTTTCAGTTCCATTTCAGAGGAAGAGAAAATAAAAGGAGCAGTTTAAGGACAAAAATATTAGCACAACTACAAAATCAAACTGAAAGCATTATACTCTTTTTCACAATATAGGGCAATTGAACCTCACTTGTTCTTCCAAATTCTATCACTAATTTGCAATTTCCTGCTCTACTGGCCTCCTGGGATGAAGGCACAGACATATTGATCTAACTGGCGGTGAAGTATCACTTTGCAGTAAGTGTCTAAGTGGTGTTGCAACACCCAGTGCTGTCTGATTGCTACAAAGGAAGACACTACCAGTTCTATCTTGTTATTAAGAAATAAATGTCTCTCTGTAAATCAGAAAGAAAACAAATTATTGTTCCAAACTTCACATCTCACTATGGTACAGTTTCATGTATTATCTATTTAAATTATTTTAACTGTAATAGTAGATATACAAGTATCTTATGTTGTAGATGGGGAGGCAAAATATAATTTACAAAATAATGTCCTAATATATGAAAGGGAAGTACATGGAGATATTTGTACATAAATCTGATAAAATAATATTCACAGATCTAACTAAATACCCTGAAGAGAAGTCTGAATCTCTGAGCAAAGATAAAGTCATACAAAGTGGTAGCATGTTTCTGGATTTGTTACGAATTAGAATATTATCTTAAAAACAATGAGAATTAATGGAAGTGTTTTCATCAGGAGGTAGGAATTAAAATACTCATATTTTGCAAAGAATAATTTATCACTGTCTTAGTCTATTTGGGCTACTGTAACAAACTGCCTTAAATTGAGTAACAAAAAAACAAAACAAAACAAAACAAAAAAACAGAAATTTATTTCTCACAGTTCTGGGGGCTGGAAAGTGCAACTCCAACACTGGAACAGATTCATTATCTGGTAAGAGTCTATTCCTCTGAGCGAGTACTTATACCTGTATGTGTTTTCACATTGAAGAAGAGGTGCACAAGCCTTCTCAGGTCTTTTTGATAAGGACACTAATCTCATTCATGAGAGCAGAGGACTCATGACTCGAATACCTCCCAAAGACCCCAATTCTTAATACCACAATATTGGGGATCGTTTTTAACAATGAACGTCACACACAAACATTTAGACCATAGCAGACATCAATGTGAACAATGTCCACTAGTAGTGAGTTCATGGAAATGAGTTAGGAGGCTACTGCAGTATTCCATGAGAGAAACAGTGCTTTGAGGAGTGTAGAATACAGATTAAAAAGTAGAGCTCAGAGCAGTGGGCACCATGACCCAAATCAGGCAACTGAATCGGTCAAAGCCGAGCAAGGTTCTAGAAAGTGACATTGGAAGTGTGTGGCTTTGGTGAAGTAGAGGAAGAGATCACTGAAGATATCAGGGAATTGAGAAGCCAATATATTAAACTAATCGTCAAGGTTAAGCATAAAAATTTTAATAGTATAATAGTAAGACAAATCATAAGCTTGCATTTCCTACATCGGAAAACAGTATTTCTTCTCAGAGACAATCTACTTCAATTTCCCCTGTTTCATAATGGCATACATTGTATTATCTATGCAGTTCACATTTTTATTGCTAAAGTTTTCCTCCTGAACAATTTTAACATTTTATTGACTATACTATTTTATATTATTTAAATAACAATAAATTGGTTTTGTAGGTTTCACTGTGTTGTCCTTGCTAAGGCTGGTCTGAAACTCCTGGACTCAAGCAATTCTCCCATCTCAACCTCCCAAAACACTGGGATTACAATCATGAGCCACTGAACCCAGCTATGTTTTTAATCAATAAATTTTATTTTAGTTTTTATTTACTAATTTGTTTGTTTTTTAGATGGAGTCTCACTTTGTTGCCCAGGCTGGAATGCAGTGGCGCAATCTTGGCTCACTACAACCTCTGCCTCTGGGGTTCACGTGATTCTCCTGCCTCAGCTTCCTGAGTAGCTGTGATTACAGGTGCACACAATGCCTGGCTAATTTTTTGTACTTTTAGTAGAGATGGGGTTTTACTATGTTAGCCAGGCTTGTCTCAAACTCCTAATCTCATGATCCACCTACCTCAGCCTCCCAAAGTGCTGAGATTACAGGCATGAGCCACTGTAACCTGCCAAAATTTTATTTTGTATACAAACTTGATTTTACTTAATCAGCAACTCACCTCTTAATTATGCAATCAATATATTTTTAAAGAAAATTTACAAAAAAAAATTTTGTAAAATAATTTTCTAAAACACTTAAAGCATTACTTTTAAATTAATCATATGAATAATTTCACTTAATCTTATACATTAATTTGTATATTGTCTTCTATAATCTTTATCTTAGTTTTAAAAAAAGCTTTATGTCTTTCATGTATCTCTTACCAAAAAGTGGAAGTCAACAATATATGCTACTACAATGTGCCTTTAAAGATTGCTCCTATGATAGATGGAACTAGTGACTAAATTTATTTTCGCCATACATGCTTAAGATAAAGTTTATTGTGAAACATGAAAGTAAAACCCCTAGAAGTTATTTTTATTAGGAAAAAAACACAAAAAAATTAATGATGCCTATAATTTGATATTTTAACTATTTTATCACCTAATCTCTACTTGAGAATATGAACATACTTTTTATTCAAACTTTCCTAAAACCAAAATAAAAATGAATTACTACTTTCATCATTTTGCCAGTGAAGATTGCTTAAAACATGCCTTTTATTATCAATTTTTTGAAAAAATGGAGATGGACTATAATAAGCAAATGCAATTTTGAAAAGCACGTGTTAATGAGAACTCCTTTGCTGCTTTAGTGCTTTATGAGGGAATAATGTTCATTAGATAATATTTTTGATTTTGCAACCAACTGGCCTATCCAATGACACTAAATGCCATATAGTACAAAATATGAAGAGGAAAATGGTTTCATTATTTTACACAGAAAAGCCAGACTGGATTTTTATACCTATTGGGACTAAAAGCCAAATATTTAGGCTTTTTTAAAAGCTACATTAACGCTTTATTTTATAATTAATACAATTGTTGGGATGATTTTATATCTTATACTTTAACAGTTTCCAAGTTCAGCCCTTTCAAAGTCAAAGAAAAAGCAATTAAAATGACATTGCTAACAATATTAGGGGAATGTTTCCAAGTAAAAATTCTTTTAAGTACCTGAAAATCCAGGACTATTTTTATTTTGTAACTATTCTCAACATTTAGGTTCAAAGCCAGGATTAGTAGCAAAGCACCTCTTGTCCCAGCTACTTGAGAGGCTGAAGCTGAAAGATCACTTGAGGTGAGGAGTTCAAGACCATACTGGGCGACATAGAGAGATTCCCATCTCTTTTTAAAAAGTTAGGTTGTTAGGTACCGTTAGATTTCAGAAACTGGGAATAGATACTCTGGGATTTGATTGAATTCACTTGCTTAATGTTCATTTTTTGCTTGGATTATTAATAGTCTTTGAATGAAGGGTTACTTTTTCCAATTCCACCTGTTTTCATCATTATATACTGTTAGTGTTTCCTTGAAAATAAACTACATAATTAGCTAATAATCCAAAATCCCACCTCTACTCAAACAACATCAAATACTAAGGCAGTATTAATTTTGGTAAAATATTTAAACACATATCTTAGTTTGCAACAGAAAGTAAACACTTGGCAAATGTGCTATTTTCACACTTTTTTTGTTCATAGGTACAAATACCATGCATGTTTTTGGCCTCATACAAAGAAATGTTTGGCAATTTATGTGTATGTGCATTTAGCATCATAAATACATATAATTCATTATAAAGCCATAGCCAGAAAAATAGTCAGCTACCTGATAATTATAAGTTCTTGATTAGAAAATATGTACTTACTGTAAATAAAATTGTTATATTAAAGCACCCTGCTTTACCTGTCCTTTAATGCCTTTTAAGAATCTCAAGATCTGCAGAAACATGGATTTATTGAAATTAATTCTAATATAGTACAACATTTGCAGTGGCTTTGGTAATTCTCTAGCTCAGATGTATAAGCTCAAATGTTTCTATACATCCACTGAACACGTTTCAGTATGTATGAGATCAAAGATCCTTAATCATACTCCATCTTGCATATTGCTAGCTAATTGGGTAGTTATAATACCATTTAGTTCATTTCTTAATGGAAAGTTGAAGCACAGCAGAAGTATAGTTAATGTTATAAAGGATGATTCTCTGTATATATTTCTCAATTTTGATGAGATGAGCTCATCTTATCCAAAGTACTTAATGGCTCCTTAAAAATATTCTTGATTAATAAAATACACAAGACATTCTTAATAGAAACCTTATCAAAGTCAATATTTATAACTAGAAAACGATTCCCCAAACTTAACACATTACAACATAATGAAACATTTTGCCCTGAGGACTGTCTTTATTACCAGCAAGACAAGCATGAAGAAATACTGTAGAAAGAGAATGCTGTAGTCAAATATCATAATGTATATATTATATATAAACACATGATATATACACACAATATATGCATGTACTAGATTCACGTCTATGATCTGTTTTTTGACTACAAACAGTTTCAGATGATTTAGCTTATGTCAAGCCATCACTTAATACTTAATTTTTTTTAGAGCAGCTTTAAGTTAAAGCAGAAATTGGGAGGAAGGTACAGAGATTTCCCACAAACCTCCTGCCTTCACACATGGATAGCCTCCTGCATTTTGAACGTCACTCACTAAGTGCTACTTTCGTTTTAATCGATGAAACTATGTTGACATTTCAATAATCATCTAAAAATCCAGAGTTTACATTAGGGTTCACTGTTGGTATTGTACATTCTTTGGGTCTGGACAAATGTATAACATGTTTCCACTATTAGAGTATTATGGAATATGATTTCACTTCCCTAAAAATCATCTGTTTGCCAGGCACAGTGGCTAATGCCTATAATCCCAGCACTTTGGTAGGCTGAGGTGGGCGATTACAAGGTCACGAGACCATCCTGGCTTACACGGTAAAACCCTGTCTCTATTAAAAATACAAAAAAAAAAAAAAAAATAGCTGGGCACAGTGGCATGTGCCTATAGTCGTGGCTACTTGGAAGGCCGAGGCAGGAGAATCACTTGAACCTGCAACGTGAGGGTCACAGTGAGCTGAGATCATACCACTGCACTCCAGCCTGGGGACAGAGTGAGACTCTATCTCAAAAAAACACAAAAACTATCTGTGCTCCAT